ATTCTACTTTGTAGCAGGTTGTATCTCTCATCTCCTAGTCCCTAATTCCTACTATATCAAATGTTTAATGCCTTCAGTAAGGCATTTCAATTAAAAAGATGACAAAGTATCGCTTGATAGTTGGCCTTTTTTAAGAATAATTTCATAAAAAAGAAATAATTTTTAAAAAGCTATAAAATGAAAATATAGAAAATGTAGATTTGAAATTCTCAAAAAGCAATTAAAAAACTCTATATACCATCAATGTTATAGACTATAGAGATTAGAAATGAACTATAAAATATCTAGAAATCATCAGGGTTCTGGTTATATGAGTGAACGTTCATTTTGTTAAAATTCACCATATGAACTTCCATCCAACTCCCCCATCCTTTGGGCTATTATTGTCATACATTTTACATCTTCATATATTACGAGCCATAGCTAATATGTCTGCTTTAAACAAATATCTTTTTTAAAAACTTAAATGAGAAAATGTCTTTCATATTCACCAATACATTTCCTATTTCTAGTATTCTATTTCTTGTATAGATTAATGTTTCATTTTCCTTTTTTCACAAAAAACTTCCTTTAATATTCCTTGAAGTGCCGTTTTAGGGCAACAAATCCTCTTGCATTTTTGTTAGATATAAAAGTATTTATTTTGTCTTCTATTTTTGAAGAATATTTTGCTAGGTATAGAATTCTAGGGTCACAATTATTTTTTCAGCACTTGAAAGATGTCACTGTCTTCTGGCTGGTAGTTTTGATGAACACTCGTCAAATTTATCTCTTTTCTGCACTTCACAATCCTCCCCTTCTCTGGCTACTTAAAAAAAAAAAAAAAATCCCTGCTTTCGTCAGTTTAATTTTGATGTCTGTCTGTTTATGTTGATCCTGGTTAGGGTTCCTTGAGTTCTTAGATCTGTGAGTTTAAAGTTTTCATCAAATTTGGAAAATTTTCTGCCATGATTTCTTTAAATATTTTTTCTGCTCTCCTCACTCCTTTCCAGGACCTTCAGCTAAATATTGTTACATAAGGCACTGAGGCTCACTGCCTTTCATTTTGGACTGATTTTATTACAGTACCTTCAAATTCACTGATTTTTGTCTTCTGTAGTGTCGAACCTACTATTAATTATCCAGTGAGATTTTTAGTTCAGAAACTGTATTTTCATAATTAGAAGTTCCTTTGATTCCAATACCTTCCCTTTCTCTTTTACATTCATGTTTTCCTTAATAAATTAAAAATATTTAAAATAACTGATTAGCTTTCTTGCTGGTAGTTCCACTAAATCTGTCACTTAGTCTGTTTCTATTGAATGGTTTTTCTCCTGCATATATAACAAATTTTCCTGCTCTTTGGCATGTATAGTATTTTTTAATTGATGATGGACATGATAAATGTTACATTGTTGAGGGTCCAAATATTGTTTTCTTCCTTTGAAAAACTTTGAGTTTTTGTGGGAAGGGGAAGCAGGGTAGCTAAATTACTTGAATATCAGTTTGATCAGGGTTTGCTTAAATTCTGCTAGGTTGGGTTGGTGAAGCCTTCACTCCAGATATAGGTCAGCCCTACTAATACAAATTATCTACTCAAGAGTCTCCACTAAATATCCTGGATCATGAACACCATTCTGACTGGCTAAAGCTCCAATATCTCCTCTTTCTTGTAAGCTCTCATAATTGTTTAATTTAAAACTCCCTTCCAAAGCTATATCCTGCCATATGAAGCTTTCCACTGCATAGGCATAGCCTGGTACCCAACCAAGACACGGAGAAGCCCCTGTGCAGATTTCTGATGTGTTTTGGCTGCAGAGCTCCTCCAGAACTCTGCCCAACAATGCAAAGTCCAGTTTCTCCAAACTGCAATCTCCAGCACCTAAACTCAATGAAGTTGCTGGGCTGTTTGCGTTCCTCCTCTCTATACCCACAATCAAGAAATTAATTCCTGGGGAATTTTTATTGATGATGCAAATTTACTTGATCTTATGCAAACTTAGCTTATAGTTTGTTTATTCATTCAATTGACCACAAAATTTAGATAGCTACTATTTTCTTCATGATTAAGAGTTTTCCAAAGTCAATTAAAATATAGTCCCAGAGATCAATATTTGAGATTAGTCTGATGAAAAAGAAAAAATCTGGGACCTTTAGGTGGCAGTTAAAATTATGGCACTTAGCTAAAAGATATATGATTACACCTAAGCTGGAAATAACAGTGGTAGTATTAAAGCCATGGAACTTATCTTAGAGATAATAAAAGGGAGGATCTGAATCTAAGTGGTCAGTACAACAAGTTTATTTAGGATGACAAAATCAGAAGAAACTTCACAGATTAATATGTTTATATATTCTTAACCTTTATACCTTGGACAGCAACAAGCCTTATCAAAGAACCTAGGTTCAATCCTACTCTTACCTTGCTAACAATGACTCAAAATAAAATAACAATAGCAAATCTTTCTCTAAGAAAATCATGCAAATTTTAATTTGAAATCTAATATTACAGAATTGTGTTAAAATTTGATAACTGGGTTTTTTTTTTTTTACACCAGTAAAGAATACCGAACTAGTTGAATACCCACATTTGAAAAGCAACAAATCCACAAGATCAATGCCTTCAAGTATAACTCTAGGAATCCACTAACAAAGGAATACGATCTACTGTTTCTCATTTTAGTCTGGGCACCTGAGCTGGTCTGTGAAGTCACGAAGGGAACAGAAATCATTATGTAAGACTTGCTTACGTTGCAAGCTTATTCTAACTCACATATACCAACACACATTTACACAAACACCAAACACACACAAATGCTCAGACACAAATAAGACACAAAACTGTCCATGTCAATACCTCTACTTTGATCTCAGTGTTAAGAAGAGTCCTGTCTGCCCACCCCATATATACTTTCCCTACCTTTTGTTCCCTTCCTTTCTATCTCCTAGATCATTGTCCTCCTCTGGGGGTCTCATCAGCCTTACTTCATTAGCATAATCATTGTTATTGTCTCCAGTCTTTCTCCCCTCAAATCCATCCCCCACGCTGCTTGCGAAATAATCTCTCACAAATAAGAAATTCCCCTAAGTATGTCATTTAATATTTCTCTATGTCCTTTAGGACAGAGCTCTAATTCCATAGTTTGATATAATCTAACTCCTTTTTTCCCTCCAATCTCTTCACCTGTCTTTGTCTCCAACAGACACTGAGCTCTAACTACTTTGAATTACATACACTTCCCTAAAGTTATACTTCATAATAGCTTACTGACTGCCCATGCTCTTCCTTTCTCTGAAAATGCTTTCAAATATTTCTTTATCTGGATATCGTATACTTCTTTAAAACAGTAGAAAGATATGTCAGTTATTACTTCTACTCATATATCTTCCAATTGTCCTTTTCCTCTATATAGAAAACATGTTCCCCCATTTGAAATCAAGCAGTTTGCTTTAACCAAAGAAACTTGAAATGCCAGTGCTTAATTACCTTCTCTCTCTTCCCACTACTGCAGTGATAATGCCAGTACATCCAGATGACGCCTTCGATGTCTTAGGTCACTAAGCTTTCCTACCCAACCCATTTTGGATACGTAGTTTGTGTGAGAAATAAACATTGGTTGTGTTAAGACACCAAGATTGGGGGCTTGTTTGCTCCTAGAACACAACCTAGGCTATTCTGTCTGATACAAAGGGTTGCCTTTCAGGAGCCCAGCACAGTCTGATTCAAATGCTGCTTCTCCAAGTGTTGTGCTTCTCCACGTGATGACAGCATTCTAATCATACTCTCATCAAAACAACACTGTAGAGCAAGATGGCTGCTGTAATTATCCCTCTCCCATCAAACTGTAATTTTGAGGAAAGAAACTGGGTTTTTCATCCCCATATCCTCATCACTAAGCTCAGTGCCTAGCTCATAATCAGAGCTTAATTAACTGATCATTCATTCATTCACTCATCAAGGGCCAGGGACTACGCTAGTTGCTAGAGATAGAGCAAAACCAGAGCAAACAAAAAACCCTGCCCTCATAAAAGCTAATATTCCTATGAAGAATGACAATAAGCAAGACAAAAAGTATAAAAAATGTAGTTTATCAGATACTGATAAATGCTAAGTAGGAAATATAGAGCCAGAATATTTGGATGGTGACCAGGTATGACCTCTTTTAGAAGATGACCTTTATAATGAAATCTCAAAGTGAAATATGTAAATTGTCCATGCAGATATCTGGGAAGAGCGACTCAGTGGAGAGAACACCGCAGGAACCTGGAGATGGAAACATGCTTGGTATGTTCAAAGGACAGGAGAACCAGAACAGATGAGCAAGTGAGCGCTTGGAGGTGAGATTGGAGATGTAACAAGGGGCCGGGTCTTACATAGAGGCCAGGTTAAGGGTTTTTGCTTTTATCTGGAGTGAAATAGGGGGCCAGTGAAGAATTCTGAGAAGAGTGAGGAGTGGAAGGGTACAGTAGACGATAAGGTCAGAGATAAAATGAGGCCCATTTTCTTTCATATTATATTTCCTCTCCCCCCAATACATGTGAAAAACAATGTACCAATTAGTCAAGAAAGATTAAACATAATGATGAATAACTGATATTTTATGAAGATCTTAATCTGTTTATTACTCACCATGCTGGGACACTGATTATAACCAATATATAATTGTCAAAATATAGAAATGTACCAAAGTATGGTATATCAAACATCAGGAGAGACCAAGTAATTGATATAGCAACAAATTTTGTAAACAATTAGTAATACTGAACAATTTAACAAATAAATCCATAAAGATTTTTAGCTCTATGGATATCACCTCTTTACTTGGATTTGGCCAAATACCACAAAGTAAAACAAGTAAAATCATTTTCACACCGTTATACTGCTTTCCAGAAGATAAAACAACCTTCTGAATCCAAGTTCGTTGCTAGAGGCAAACAAACCAAAACAAGAAAAGCAAAGTGAAAGAAAACAAACCACAATTCAAAAACCTTTCGCCAAATGTGAAATCAAATAAACACACCTTGCGCTGTGTTCTCGACGCTGCCAGGTCTGAACTGTGGGAAGCTGCCCAGGGGGAAGGTGTTTCCAAAGGCAAGCTTTTTACCGAGGAAGCGGTGCTCACATTCCTGGCAAATTCAATTCCAGATACCAATAATAATACTCTTAGCTGTTTTTTCTTACTGGAATTCAAAATCGAATATAAGTATTAAATGGATAATCTGCAGTTCCCTAATTGTCCACAAAGTAAAATCACTGTGGGAGCATTTTCTAAAAGGTGTTTTTAGGTGTGCTAATTCTGTTCTATGTTCAAGTGAATTAAGTTTCTATGACCAAATGTACTTGGAAAATGTTGCATCATATGCCCTTTTCTTCACAAGACACACTTCCATAAAAAGGCTTTGAGAAGTGCTATAATAGAAAACCCTATTTAAATTTGCATGATCCAGTGTGCCCCAAATTTTTAAAGTGAAGACCCCCTTTCCACTATAATAAATAATGTTATTTGTGCAAATTACACTTTAAGAATGGTACGCTGTATAGCAAATATCTGAAAAGCAGTGAAAGATGCTTCCACAGTATTTTAAAGTTGAATATAATATAAATGTAAAGAGACCGATACAAATTTATTTTCTGTATTGCAACTTGTACAGAGTTCACCTATAAAAAGATAAAAAAGCCAATGAAAAAATGGGCAAAGGATCTTAACAGACATTTCTTCAAAGAAGAAATACAAATTGTCAGTAAGCACATAAAACAATGCCCAATATCATCAGTCATTCGGGAAATTTAAACCAAAACTACCATGAGAAACCAATTCACATCCACTAGGATGGCTGCATCAAAAGACAGACAATATGAAGTGGCTGGCGAAGAGGTAAAGAAACTGGAACCTTCATGCATAGCTGGTGGGAAAGTAAAATGGTACAAACATTTTAGAAAATGGCAGTTCCTCAAAAAATTCAAACACAGAATGACCATATGACCCAGCAACTCCACTCCTAGCTATGTACCCAAGAGAAATGGAAACATATATCCATGAAAAAACTTGCCCACAAATGTTCATAACAGCATTTTTCTTATAGCCAATAAGTTGAAAAAAATCCATGATGAATAAACAAATGTGGTATATTCATATCATGAAATATTATTCAGCCATAAAAAGGAATGAAATGTGAATACACATTACAACATGAATGAACCTTGAAAACACGCTAAGTGAAAGAAGCCAGTTACAGAAGTCCAATTAATGCATCATTTCTACAGTTCTCTTTATATGAAATGTCCAGAATGGGAAAATCTATGGAGAAAGAAAGTAGATTAATGGTTAAGGCTAAGGATGAAGGTAGCAGGGATAGGGAATGACTAAGAATGGGTACAGGGTTTCTTTCTGAGGTGATAAACGTAATCTAACATTTAGGTAGTAGTGATAATTGCACAACGCTGCATATGCTAAAAACCACTATACTGTATACTTTAAATTAATAAATTTTATGGTTGTGAATTATGTCTCAATAAAGCTGTTATTAAAATAAGAGTCATACTAATATAGGTCCACAGCCCTTCTCTAAAATGTTTGTTCTAGATGTATCCTGGAAGTTTTAGATTATAGAAAGGGAATATGTTCCATCTACAATAAACCCCAACTGGGTAAACTGAATTTTTTAACAATTAAGTGACTTTACCAAGCATGCACATTTAACAAGAAAAAAACAGCAGCAATTTGAACTCAACTCTATCTAAACACAGAGCTCACTCACTTTCCTTTACAAGGAAGAATGTGTTCAGATCAGCCAGCTGAGATACAGACTATATATCTGCAAAAGGCAAAAAAAGAATCCTTTTATATATATCAAAGAGATTACTGTAAGGATAAAATGAGATTCGTTTTTATGAAAATAATGTTTCAAATACAATAGTTTGTATAAATCTTAGACGATATTATCTGAAAAACTATTTTCACTATATAACTAAACCAAGGTTTAAAATAGGATATGCTTTTAGTCTAATTCTATACAGGCACTCAATAAATATGTTAATTTTATTAGAAGAAATAAGCATTAATTTAAATATTTTTTAATATCCAAGAAAATTCAAATATTTTCAAGTGGTCCATAACTAAACTTCCATCATCTTAGTTTCCATACAGTTTCAACATATAAAAGAGGTACACTACACAAACATACCTATTACGTTTGGTCTTAGAGCAATTCTATGTACCCAGAAGCCAGACAGATTACTCTTATACCTTACAGGTAAGTTCAACAAAGTTTTTATCTTTGTTGTTTAAAGTATTACAGCTGCCCCTTTTTTTCCATTGACCCCTCCTCTCTGCTCCCACTCTGCCCTCTGCCTTCACCACACTATTTTCTGTGTCCATTGGTTATGCATATGTGCATAAAGGTTCTTTGGTTTATCTCTTTCCACCCCCACCTCCAATCCCCCTTCCCTTTGAGGTTTGTCAGTCTGTTCCCTACTTCTGTGTCTCTGGATCTATTTTGTTCATCAGTTTATAATGTTCATTTGATTCCACATATAAGTGAGATCATGTGATACTTATCTTTTTCTGACTGGCTTATTTCGCCAGTTAAGACAGGTAACGTCTTAATCTTTTGAAAATTTAAAATGATTTCAGTTTATTTAACGGTGTGCTCATCTAAGTTTCTAGGGTATGTAGGGGATTGTTCTTATATCCTCCTCAAGGAAACATTTGTTATAAATAGGACATAAGTGGGTATAACCCAAAGCAACTTTTATTCTGTGATAGTCATTACATTAAAGAATTTAATGGTTGGCTGCAATTGAAAAAAATTCTAAGAACCATTATTCTATTTTTTTTTCTTTTTTTTATCCTCACCCGAGGATATTTTTCCATTTTTTGTTCAGATAGAGTGGGAGGGAGAGAGAGGAAGAGAGAGAGAGAGAGAGAAACATCGACGTGAAAGGGACACATCGAGTGGCTGCCACCCACACAATCAACCAGGGCCGGGGACAAGCCGGGGACAAACTGCAACCGAGGTACATGCCCTTCGCGGAACCGAACTCTGGTCTCTCAGGACCGCAGGCCGACGCTCTAACTGCTGAGCCAAACCAGCCAGGGCAGAACCATTATTCTAAAATACAAATCTGATCATGTTGTTCTACAGTTTGAAAATCTAAAATGGATGCTCATTGCCTACAAGATGAAAATTGCTTTCTATGACATATAATAAATAGCCTTTCTAGCCTGGTTCAGACGGTCTTTATTGCCTCAACTCCAGCCACTTTTATCCAAATTATGCTCTAGCCACTGAACTTCTTTCAGTTCCCAACCACAAGATCCTACTGGCAACTTAGTGGCTTTACAAATCTTGTTCTCCTTGTCTCAATGCCTGTGGATTCAGGCTCTATCTACCTTGAATTCACAGGCAGCCTTCAAAACCTCATTTCAAAGTCACTTCCTTCTTTTTAATCATCTATACCTGCCAAACAAATGTTTGCTGATTAACTGACTGACATATAACTCACTTGTTATATACTGTTCATTCTTATATCTACCAGCACATAGAACTTTGGCATGCAATATTATAGTATTGATTGATTTTTGCCTTTGGAAATGAAATTCTAAATTTTTTTTTTTTTTTTTTTATCCTCACCCGAGGATATTTTTCCATTTTTTGTACAGATAGAGTGGGAGGGAGAGAGAGGAAAAGAGAGAGAGAGAGAGAAACATCGAGGTGAAGGGACACATCGAGTGGCTGCCACCCGCATGACCAACCAGGGCCGGGGACAAACTGCAACCGAAGTACGTGCCCTTAGCGGAACCGAACCCGGGTCTCTCTGGACCGCAGGCCGACGCTTTAACCGCTGAGCCAAACTGGCCAGGGCGAAATTCTAAAATTTTTACATAAATTTTGTTTCATTTAAGGTAAAGATGGAAGAATATGGATTAGTAAATGTAAAGAATAATAGATTCTTGGTTTTAACCCAGTCCATATGAGACCAAAGAGATGCTAGAGTAAGCAGAACACTGAAGGGCAGTGACTGAGTAATTCAATTCAATAACTTTTGTTAAGTGTCATGCACTAAAATTTATAGTTCAGGTCAGAAGTTGTAAATTTCTTCTGTAAAGGGCCAAATCATAAATATTTTAGGCATTTTGAGTCAAAAGGCAAAAATCAAGATATGACTGTGTCACTGATTTTCAGTGCTGCGAGAAGCAGTGAAAGCATGAGCCTACCAACTTTGCATTTTTGTTGCAACTACTCTATCCAGCTGTTTTAGTTCAAAAGCAGCCAAAGACAAATATGTAAGTAAACGAGTACAGCTGTGTTCCAATAAAACTTTATTTATAAACAATAAAATCTGAGTTTCATATAATTTTCACATCACAAAATATAGTTTTAATTTTTTTCAACTACTTAAAAATGTAAAAACTATTCTTATTGCACGGGTCATACAAAAACTGGCAGTGAGCCAGATTTGGGTGGGCTATGAGTCACGGTTTGTCAATCAACTGTTTAGGTATATTTTTAAGTCTATTCTTACTCTTGAATTATCAGGTTTCATCTTTGGCATAAATAAATCAGAAAATGACAAAAGTTTACTTAAATCTAGGTTATTGTTATTGAATTAATTTTTACATTATATATCTTCTCTTGCAAGAAGTTTATTACATTTGCAGGCAGTTTTTAACTTGATTTAACATAATTATTTAGAGCCACCTCTATATTCTAGGACTCTAGGATATACCATCTGTTTTATGTTTCTATATAAATCATAGATTTTGTGTTTATATTGTCTTTTAATCAATCATTGTATGCCTCAGTTTTGTTTGGTTTGTTTTTTTCCCCCATAAGCAAACAGGATGTAGTTTAGTCCCTTATAGACTTAGGAGTTATTTTCTAGTCATCACAAAATACAAACTACATAAAAACATTTTTTAAACACTAAATAAATTTTGCTCTGTTGCTTTCTAATATTTAATGCTACAAAAAATAAGTCTGAAACCATCCTATTTTTTTTGATTCCTGATAATAATATGCTATTTTTCTCTCTAGATTTTTAACAAATTTTTTATCATTATAATTTGAAAGTTTTTTGATATTGTGTCTCTTTGGATTATCATGTCTTACATAATTATGATAAGTCCTTTCTGCATTCATAGGTCTTTTTCAGCTCAAAATGTTTTATTTCATGTTAC